GAGATGGGGCGTGGCATATTGGCTGAGGTACGTCCATGGCATCTTGAGTCTTCTCATGCATGTATCTTGGTGGAGCTGTGAAGGATGAAGGCAAAGCAACTAATCTGCCCATATTGTGAGCGTTTGTATCTCCTTCGGCATTGATGGCGCCCCAGAGATGAGCATACTGTCGACACGCAGTCGGTTTTGATTCAGTTGAATGTAAAGAAGGCGCTCACTCTCAATGTTGGCGTACTAATCGACAACATACTGGTGAAAGAGGTTGGCGCACCATCATATGCGGTTTCCTCCCCTGTCCATGATCACGAAGGAATAGAAGTATTTTTAGTGTAGACAGTTTTGAGAGGATGTCTTTGCCCTGCAGCTTTGTAATTGGAGGAATGTTGACGTGGTAGGCATCTTGGCCTTGCGACAGGACAATGTGTTATTGTAGGGCATCGTATGCTCTGTTATTGTCAGGAAATCGTGCGATGGTGTTTTCTTGGTATGGAGGAACAATGTGCCTCTGGCAGTGTTCCTCACCCACCGTAAGAAAGCAAGGTCAACAATATTTGGGGCATTGAACCTCCCTGCGTGCTCCCCGCTTTAGTGAAAAGTAAAGGTGCGGTACGGCGAAATAGAAATGGGTGATGTTCCCACCAATGTAACAAAACGATAGACGAAATGCAATGGGCTGTAGCTAAGCAAGTCCAACGTATTTAGCAGTATAACATATGGATCAGCATTGCAGTACTACGTATGAGTAAATAGCGTGATGTGAGCAATCGAACCAATAGAAATGCATTGAAGAATTAAGCTGTAGTAAGTGTAAATGAAAGAGCATCAGTACGCACAGGTAAGTTGAGAAGCAGGATACAGTCTAGATTATAGACTGCCAGTACGCCGACTCAATGACAAGACCAGCTACAGTCGACATCAAAAGCTGGCAATACGGGCAGCAGCTGAAAAAGCAGAAAACAGTCGACATGAAAGGCTGTCAGTACGCTGAGTGAGGTAAAGAAGCAGGCAACAGATTATAGACTGGCATGCACTCATAATGGTCAAAAGGAAAATTATCAGTGTAGATGATAGAGTGCCAGTGCACTGACGTTAATTAATCAACAGGCAGCAGGCCACATCACAGACTGGCAGTAGAGCATCGCAGCATCCAAAACATGTCGTTTCGTTTCCCCAATGTAACTGCTGCCGCAGCCACAACTCAGTTTGTAGACACGGGTATTGAATGTCAGGAATCACATCCTTTACACATGGGATCAAATCACAGATTTTGTGTACTGTGTTGAAACGAACCTAGATCTTGTGTTTCTTTAAGATTTTGGAAATATTTTTGGTAACCCCTGCTATGTATGGCAAAGTGATGGTTTCGGTTGGATCCTCAGATGGTTGTCTCCACATTGCTGGGGAGACAGCTTTGCGGATTGTACGGTCAGAATATCTGTTCATCGTGAGGGCTTGGCACTGCCTTACCAACACTTACTTCACCTGGAATGGTACATTCCACAAACAAAATGAGGGTACCCCAATGGGTTCTCCCTTATCGCCAGTGGTAGCGAATGTTTTCATGGAGACATTTGAGACAGATGCCATTCAGACATCCACCCTATGTCCTTCCTTGTGGAAGAGATGCGTAGATGACACGTTCGTCAACCAAACATTAAACAAATTTTCAATGGTACAGTATATTTTTTCAAGTAGTGGTATCCCAAACTTTCGCAGCAGCTTAAATTCCCTTTTCACACCATCAATATGTAAACTCCCCCTCCCCCCCTCGCCGGTCTGCTCATGTTCACCCCCTCTACACCGTTCATCACGCTAAGTCCGCCAATTAAATGCTAATTTTTATGCTAAGTCCTTTGTCAAGGCGCTCTGTTTCCTCTCACACAGCTTAAAGGTCGCGGTCTGAGCTTGGCTGCGTTCACTCCAGTGCTGTCCTCGAGACAGTCTGGTCCCTTCACCTGATGAATGCCACTTGTGTTGTGGCCGAAACGTCGTGAGAAATTTATTGTGTTATTTTATTTTATCAATTTATTATTTTATTCTCATTCTACGTGACTTTACCGAAAGAACCAAAGAAGATATATAAATGTGTCGTTAAACCCGCCTACCACCTGACACAGCCAACTAGTAAGGGTTGTCACGTCAAAAGAACGTGGCAAATTCGTCACTAGTACAGCACACCGGTTTTGTGTTGGAGAGCCAAGCCACAACATTTACAATCTGAGTACGATGTTTCGCCAGTAATTATAACCAGCTTCATCAGGCGACAGCCAAATGTCGTGGCTTGGCTCTGTAGGAATACAAATCGGCTCGCTGGGATTATAGCTCAGGACGCTAACCGTTGGACTACCGCTCCCCATTCAAGCACCAACATCTAAGATATACTATTTCTTCAGTACTAGCTAAGTTACCCGGCTTCGCACAGGTCTCAGTAATCAAATATTAAGGGTAATGTCTTGCCATGCTGGCTTTGTTAGAATAATTGATTTCTGACAGAGAAGTTGGTAAATGTGTGTTTTTGTAACGGGTTTTCGGTTGTGTTATACAATCGCAGAGCTTGTAAATCCGTGGCCCTTGGAGTGCTTCAGGATAGACAATGTTGGATGTTTTTTTCCATCTGATAGGTTTAATCGAATGAAGCTTCAATTTTGGCATACATGTCGACAGCAAATTAGTGGAAGAGCTTTTTGCATCTCAAGAAGAGATTTAAGCTGCCGTTTCACACCATGATCCTGAAGGCAAAGAAGCCCATGGCGGCAATCTTTTTGTGTTGGCAACTTGTTGCTGGGTCAGTTTGGCGAAGTGGGAAATGGTAGCCATCATCACCTTGCAGGATTTGCCTCTTGGTGTTGATGACATTTTTTGCAATGCTGGCGAGCCTGTCTAGTATTGTCAGACATGCAAGTAGATCTGTGAGAACAAATGTAGCAGTGCAGTGGAGACACGTATGTTATGGTGAGTGCGTGGAATTGTCGTAGATGAAATGTCAATATGTGTTTGCATGTGTGGCAAACCGGAAGTTGTGAGAATGCCCCGGGCTTTAACACATGGCAAGAGAAAGCAATGGGGGGAGGTGAGGAGCGGGGGGGGGGTGTGCACGTGGTACAGGTGTTGAAGGTGAGCAGGGAAGCTAAAAATAGTGCGAGAAACACACTAACTCACCCGTGAGTGTGTGTGGAGAGTTTGGGGTGTGTTGGTGCAAATTGGTTCACAAAAAAATCTACACAAGCGCAAAGTCTGCTTTATCTTTATAGGTTTATACTAATTTTTTGTCTTGGAATATTTTTTGTATCCGGTTTCTTCTTCTTTATTTCAATTGTATAGTTTATTTGGAATACAGTACAGTACTTAATTCATATGTGATGTCAAATTTCGTTGACGTTGACTTAACGCCATTACTTTGGTAAGGCTTAAGTATTGAATATCGCGCTTTTATCTTTCGCGCAGCAATTTCCAAGATCGTAACCTCCGCGAAATGCAAGGGGCTGCCGTATCTTCTGTCTATTGACTAAAGCAGAGGTGTACGGATTCTCAACAGAAACTAAATCTCTGCATTCTTGATTTAATTAATGCCTGTAGTACCATAAAGAGACTTGGGGCTTTGGGTTGTTATTTGTTTTCAAATCTATGCCTCTGTTCACATTATTTGAGGATTTGTATGATTTTGAGCAGGACAGTCTAAAGTTGCGTGACCAGGAGTCGGAGCCATTTCCTGTTCAACTTGGCTTGTGACAGAAATTCACTCTGGCCCCATGCATTACATTACATAGCATCTTCAATAACTATGTAGTTTGAGAATCTCCAAATCGTCATGTGAAAATTATTGCATTCGTTATAGTTACAATGATACGCTCATCAATGCCTGGTTATAGTTAAGGGATCGTTCCCTGCTGGTCAACCATGTCACATCTGATGATTTGGTAATGGCTACTCAGTGAGATGGAATTAGGGCATCTTGTTCTGTGCCTTGATAATTCCATCATGAAATGGGGCCTTGCAAATGTTCCACAAAAATAAATGACCTGCCTGGGAATGTCATGTCATACAACACTGCATCTGCTCAACTCTGCATGAATAATCAGGCAGTTCTACAAGTCTTGTAGGAGCTCCCATACCTGGTTAATGTGTTCACGACCAGCTCTGGTTTGGCAGCCAAAGTCTCAGTTCAAATTAGTCGAGCAGCATTCTTTCATTAGACTGTGTAACTCTGTGTGGAAGGTGCCTAGACTTTTGCTCCGTACAAAGCTTTGTGTGTCCATCGCTAATGTCAAGTCCGTCTGAGACCATCCCTCTCCCTGCCATACTGGCATCGCACCCTCGCCCCTCACCCTTCATCCTGCGGATGTTCGACGCACAGGATGGCACCACTTAGCCAATTCGAGTTGGCCTGACTGAGCTACGTGGGTCACGCGGCCACGAGTCGCTTGTTGGTGAACACAACCCCTGGGCCCTGGCTCTAGGGGTGATATCAATATAGAATATATGTAAGGATGCCCCCCAATAGACTCCCCCTGGAACTCTACCAGACACCTCCCACTGGTCGATGACCCCAGGGCTGGCCCAGGACACGCTGGCGGGACTATGTCGCTGGGCTGGCCTGGGAACGCTTGGGAATTCCCCAGGATGAGCTGGAGTCTGTCGCCAGGGAAAGGGAGGCCTGGACCGCCCTTCTCAACGTGCTGCCACCGGCGACCCTCACCAGGACAAGCGTTTTCAGAAACTAACGGACAAAGCTGTGATTCTTCTTGGCCACAGATATTACTCTGTGGATTCAAAATATGAACTTATTTAAATGACTCTCTGTGCTGGCTTATACAGTGAAGGCTGGCCTGCCTATGATTTATCCTCTATTCAACCAGTTTATATTCTATTAGAAGCTTACAGACCCTTAAGATATCAATATAGAATATAATCTTGAGTTTCTTTTGCAGGCGAGGCCGCATTGGTTTGGTCATGAATCCCGCATTCCCAGACACTGCATGCTCAAGCAGCTTTTTGTCCAGATATTAAGGGCTGATCAGGCGAGGCATTGGCTAGAGAAGAGATTGGAGGATGTGGAGGTGATCGGACCTGCCGATGACTGGTGCCAGGAGCGGAGATCGGCCTCTGTGGAGGAGGCCCGTGAGGTATGCTTCATGGCAGATAAGAGATAGTTGCTCTGCAATAACGATGAGGTCGGAAGAGCGACGCCCACATGAATAATAGGTGGAATGCTGGGTTCCTCAAACCCAGCAAGACAGTGGGGAGCACAGCTGGTTCTTCTGTCAGTCATCCCTTGACACCTGGATCATTCCCATTACCTGCTGACACGGAATCCACACTTACATGGCCTTAAATTGCACCTATCATAGCATTAGCACTGGGAAAAGGTTACTTGCAATTCGTCATGAATGTTGGATGTTTTGTTCGTATAATATGTTAATGATCCACGTGAAATGTACGTGTTATTTAAGAGTTTATCTTGCAGTTATTTCACTGCATTATGAACTCAACAATTAGTTTCATTATCGCCGACAGCAAACATGATTGATAACACTGTGTAACAAAAAAAAATTTGACCCTGCGTAGTAAGTGTTATTTTCTAAGTGCTTATGCCTCAAAAGTACAGAAAATGGCTATTATTCCCCACAAACTTTGCTTTTGTGACCAGGACAGTGATCTTTTGAAATGTACCTATTTTCAATGAGAAAACGTGCGCATTTGTGTCATTCCTTTGCGTAAAGTCCTGGTTACAAAAGGAAAGTTTGTGGGCATGACCAATAAAAAAATAACACTAGCCATCCGGCGACAAAAAAAAATCGTGTTACATAGTGTAAGTGAAAGCTGAACTTATTGTGTGCCTCTGCTATGTTGATTGATCTTAAATTAATTACATGGTGAAGTGAGAAAGCATTAATAATGAGCAGATGAAGGTGGCCAGGCATGGTTCTGGACACACCACCACCTTTTTACCATGCCAGTGTGTGACGATGTAAAGTTTGTATTTGCAGTAATGTATATTAACGATTGAACATGGAGGTTAAATCAAAACAATAGTTTATTTTAATTTTCCTCTGGGACTTTTTGTAAGGATGGAAACAGTCAGGAAAATATCTCAGCACATATGCAGCTGAAGTTAGATCTGTTCATCCGAACATTAAAGCAAATCTGAGCGTGGATTCCACCTCGAAGTTTCGATTGAACATTAATTTATGCATTTCTGCATCATACAAATAGTATTATTTTCAACACACTTTGCTATTATAGCTGAATTTTTCTTAAATATTCCTTTCATAGCTAGACAGCCGAAATTGTGTGCTTGCAGTTTTGGGTAAACATTCATTTTGAAGATACTAGGGCATCCAGGAATATTTATGACCATTGGCCCTCTCATTGTGTGCCTGAACAGCCGGCGTGATGAATTGGGGAATAATTTTCACTATATCATGAATATATGAATAAGTATAGATGTGTAAGTCATGTGTGACTGTATATATGCATTCCTCTGTGCCTTGATACTGACGTAGATGGTGTGGATACATTTTTATGACTGCAGCTGACTCTTCCTCTGACGCTTCCTCTGCAGAATTGGTCTGATGAAGCAACGGCACTCGGCGCAGCTCGGTACAAAAAAGAAACAATGCGACCAGTGTTCATACAGCACGGATAGTACTGGAAGTTTGGCACAGCACAAGAGAATGCACACAGGAGAGAAACCCTTCAAGTGCATTGTGTGTGAGAAGGCATTTGCAGAGTCATCGCATCTTAAAAGACACCAGAGAACACACACGGGAGAGAAAACCTTCAAGTGCAGTGTGTGTGAGAAGGAATTTGCAGAGTCATCACATCTTAAAAAACACCAGAGGACACACAGGGGAGAGAACCCCTTCAAGTGCAGTGTGTGTGAAAAGGCATTTGCAGAGTTATCACATCTTAAAAACCACCAGAGAACACACACAGGAGAGAAACCCTTCAAGTGCAGTGTCTGTGAGAAGGCATTTGCACATTCATCAGGTCTTCAGATCCACCAGAGAACACACACAGGAGAGAAACCCTTCAAGTGCACTGTGTGTGGAAGCGCATTTGCACGGTCATCAAATCTTCAGATCCACCAGAGAAGGCACACAGGAGAGAAACCCTTCAAGTGCACTGTCTGTGAGAAGACATTTTCACAGTCGTCAGTTCTTCAGAGCCACCAGAGAACACACACAGGAGAGAAACCCTTCAAGTGCACTGTCTGTGAGAAGGCATTTGCACATTCATCAGGTCTTCAGATCCACCAGAGAACACACACAGGAGAGAAACCCTTCAAGTGCACTGTCTGTGAGAAGACATTTTCACAGTCGTCAGTTCTTCAGAGCCACCAGAGAACACACACAGGAGAGAAACCCTTCAAGTGCACTGTCTGTGAGAAGGCATTTGCACATTCATCAGGTCTTCAGATCCACCAGAGAACACACACAGGAGAGAAACCCTTCAAGTGCACTGTGTGTGGAAGCGCATTTGCACGGTCATCAGATCTTCAGAGACACAAGAGAAGGCACACAGGAGAGAACCCCTTCAAGTGCACTCTGTGCAGGAAGGCGTTTGCACGGTCATCACGTCTTCAAACACACCAGAGGACACACACAGGAGAAAAACCCTTCAAGTGCACTGTGTGTGAGAAGGAATTTTCACAGTCATCAAATCTTAAAATACACCAGAGAACGCACACAGGAGAGAAACCCTTCAAGTGCAGTGTGTGTGGGAAGGCATTTTCAACTTCATTTTATGTTAAAGCACACCAGAGAATACACACAGGAGATAACCCCTTCAAGTGCAGTGTGTGTGAGAAGGAATTTTCACAGTCATCAAATCTTAAAAAACACCAGAGAACGCACACAGGAGAGAAACCCTTCAAGTGCACTGTGTGTGGGAAGGCAATTTCAAGTTCATCTGATCTTAAAAGGCACCAGGGAACACACACAGGAGAGAAACCCTTCAATTGCACTGTCTGTGAGAAGGCATTTTCACTGTCATCAGTTCTGCATCGACACCAGAGAACACACAGGCATCAGAAGATCGCCAAGGAGTGTAGTCTGAAATCGACTTGTGAAAGTCAAAGTGCTGCAATGAACCCATCCCTCCTGAAAAAAGAACCAGAAGTGAATTCTAGCTTGGACACTATGAAATGTTTCAAGGTGAAATTTGAAGAGGTGACGGTGAAGAGTGAAGAAGTGAAGGTGAAATGTGAAGATGAAGATTCAACTCCAAAACCGGACCTTCACATCAATGGAGGCAACGTGAAGCAGGAGGAGAATTCCGACTGTGAGGCAGAGCGAGGCAACTCCCAGCAGTTTGTGGAAGTGGAGGTGTGGGTGGACTTCTTAGACAATACAAAGTCAAATGGAGACCCTGTAGATGTGTAAGATTGAGACAATGAAGCCCGAATAGATTCACCTTTGTCACAGGCCTTTACTGAAAATAACTCCATACCTAGGTTCAACCTGCACAGCAAGAGCGCTCAGTATTTGTGGACTTGTGGGTTGGGTAGATCTTTAACTAGGGGATCTGAATTCTGATACCTGATAGAATTACACTAAAACAACCATTTTATTTTCACAATTGGTAATATACCCCTAGATAATTAAGCCAAGCCTAATTTAAATAAGCATATTTTAATCAAATGTCATTTTTTTCAGCTGCCACAGCAAGAAAAAATTATTGCTGTGGTTTTCACACCTGATGATAATTGTTGCAGTCACGAAAGCTTTAAATCAAAATTAATGAATACTTGTCTGATTTTGTGCGTACATGTGTAGTAGTCATAGATGGAGACGGAGTCGTAGTAGGAATTAAACTCTTTTATTTATATCCTTAACGATTCCCTAGGTCCTTAACACGAAGGGGTAACGGTTCCTTTTACCCACAACCTAGGGAGGTACAGCCTCCGGGCTAGCTTACTCTAGCCTTGGGTCGAACTACTACTCTAGCCCTCCGGCTAGCTGGACCTAGGGGAGGCTGACCCACCGCTGGCACCGGTGGGTCTTTGACCACTGGCCCGTCCAGACCCGGCCCTGAGAAGGACGTCGGGCTGAGGGAACTTCAGGGCCCTAGCCTGCTGATCACTGGCACCGCACTGAGCCCCGGCCCTCAGAAGGACGTCGGGGTTTGGGGTCCAGGATCTCCTCTTCAGGCGGCTCCACGGCTTCGGCTTGAGACGAATTGCCTCCTGGTCTCAGGAGCCCGCCTTTTATACCATTTCCCACCGAGGGGCGGGGGTTCCGAGGGATCACAGATCCCTCGCAGGCCCCTCCCCTCAGGAGAGGTGCTGGTCACAGGGAGCCCAACAATCTGTGCTTGTTCGACCCCACTTTCTGTCTAGGACCAGGGTTCTGGGGGATCCCATACACACACACACTTCACAGCCTCTACCCCTCAGGCGGGGTCTCCATCAGGGTTATGAATGACCTCGCTCTGGTAGTTACTGTGTAGCATGTGCGTGTTTACAGAGTGACCACCACACATGTAACATTTTGTCTATACGATCTTTAACAAAAATAACGCGAAGTTTAACACTCAATTCCTAGGTTCAACCTGCAGAGTAAGAGCGGTCAGTCTTTGCGGACCTGCGGGTTGGGCAGATCTCTAACTAGGAGCCAGAGTCAATAAGCTCCCAAGCATTCACTACGTTATAATAATACTAATATTAGCATGTATATGGTGCTTGCTTAATCACCTCAGCAACTCGGAGTTTTGTACCACATCTCATCACAAACACTCGAAGAGCACGCCGTTTAGCGTCCTCTGGTCTAACACCGTTTGAGACGAGGCTCAAAAGAAAGCTGTCTCTGGTGTGGACCAATCAGTTTCAAAGACAACGCCATCATATTATCAGAGCGTGTTTTTTGTTTGCATTCTGACCACAAGTATTGTGGTTAATGCATCGACGTGATTCCTTGTGAGAGGTTTCAGTTTGGTGTTTTAACATCTCGACACCTGTTTCCAGAAAAAAGTAGAAAACCTATTCTCACTCGAAGAGCATGTTTGAATATACAGTAAAACCTTGGATTGCGAGCATTATTCGTTCCGGAAACGTGTTTGTAATCCAAAGCACTCGTATGTCAAACCTAATTCCCCCATAAGAAATCATGGAAACTCAGATGATTCGTTCCACAACCCAAAAATATGCATGTAAAAATGATTAATACAAAATCCCTTTTTATATTTTTATTATTTAAATTTAATGTTAAGTAATCGAATTTATAAATTAAATTTAATCGTGGCTGGTGTGAGGGAGACGAGAGAGAGGAGAGGAGGAGGGTTATTGTGTAGGACGACTTTCACTGTCACTAACTGAATCACCGCCATCTGTTGGCGCAGTGGAATGCGACTCTAGCAAGGAATCTATCCCAATGACACTCGCTTTTGCCTCCTTTTGAGGATTTCGCGGAAATGTGACATTGCATTGTCGTTAAACAGATTCATCGCTTAGTGTTGTGACCACGTGTATACTGTTTACAACAGTACTATAGTGTTGTGACCACGTGTATACTGTCTTTTACAGTACTATAGTGTTGTGACCACGTGTATACTGTTTACTACAGTACTATAGTGTTGTGACCACGTGTATGTATACTGTTTACTACAGTACTATAGTGTTGTGACCACGTGTATACTGTTTACTACAGTACTATAGTGTTGTGACCACGTGTATACTGTTTACTATAGTACTATAGTGTTGTGACCACGTGTATACTGTTTACTATAGTACTATAGTGTTGTGACCACGTGTATACTGTTTACTACAGTACTATAGTGTTGTGACCACGTGTATACTGTTTACTACAGTACTATAGTGTTGTGACCACGTGTATACTGTTTACTACAGTACTATAGTGTTGTGACCACGTGTATACTGTTTACTACAGTACTATAGTGTTGTGACCACGTGTATACTGTTTACTACAGTACTATAGTGTTGTGACCACGTGTATACTGTTTACTACAGTACTATAGTGTTGTGACCACGTGTATACTGTCTACTACAGTACTATAGTGTTGTGACCACGTGTATACTGTCTACTACAGTACTATAGTGTTGTGACCACGTGTATACTGTTTACTACAGTACTATAGTGTTGTGACCACGTATATACTGTTTACTACAGTACTATAGTGTTGTGACCACGTGTATACTGTTTACTATAGTGTTGTGACCACGTGTATTCTGTTTACTACAGTACTATAGTGTTGTGACCACGTGTATACTGTTTACTACAGTACTATAGTGTTGTGACCACGTGTATACTGTCTACTACAGTACTATAGTGTTGTGACCACGTGTATACTGTCTACTACAGTACTATAGTGTTGTGACCACGTGTATACTGTTTACTACAGTACTATAGTGTTGTGACCACGTGTATACTGTTTACTACAGTACTATAGTGTTGTGACCACGTGTATACTGTTTACTATAGTGTTGTGACCACGTGTATTCTGTTTACTACAGTACTATAGTGTTGTGACCACGTGTATACTGTTTACTATAGTACTATAGTGTTGTGACCACGTGTATACTGTTTACTATAGTACTATAGTGTTGTGACCACGTGTATACTGTTTACTATAGTACTATAGTGTTGTGACCACGTGTATACTGTTTACTACAGTACTATAGTGTTGTGACCACGTGTATACTGTCTACTACAGTACTATAGTGTTGTGACCACGTGTATACTGTCTACTACAGTACTATAGTGTTGTGACCACGTGTATACTGTCTACTACAGTACTATAGTGTTGTGACCATGTGTATACTGTTTACTATAGTACTATAGTGTTGTGACCATGTGTATACTGTTTACTACAGTACTATAGTGTTGTGACCACGTGTATACTGTCTACTACAGTACTATAGTGTTGTGACCACGTGTATACTGTTTACTACAGTACTATAGTGTTGTGACCACGTGTATACTGTCTACTACAGTACTATAGTGTTGTGACCACGTGTATACTGTCTACTATAGTACTATAGTGTTGTGACCACGTGTATACTGTTTACTACGGTACTATAGTGTTGTGACCACGTGTATACTGTTTACTACAGTACTATAGTGTTGTTTCAATGAGTGCTGCTGAGATTCGTGGCGTCTTTTAAGCTCGGTGATAGGTGTGAATGACCTTAGAGTCGCGGCATCTCTTCAGGATCCTTCAACAGACTCCGGGACAAGAAAGCTCAACTAATCGAGTCTCTCACCTTTCTGAAGAGATGCCGTGATTCTAAGGTCATTCACACCTATCACCGAGCTTAAAAGACGCCACGAATCTCAGCAGCACTCATTGAAGCACTGTCGTCCCGACAGTTCTGTTCTTTCACCTGAAGAAGGCCGCTTGTGTTGTGGCCGAAACGTCGTGAGAATTTTATTGTCTTATTTTTATTTTATTCTCATTCTACGTGACTTTACCGAAAGAACCAAAGAAGATGATTCCCTGCAGTCACGAAAGCTTTAAATCGAAATGTCTATCTTCAACCTCAGGATATCAAAATATAACTTGAGAATAAGAATCACGGATCCCTGGTGATACAGACGGGGAACAAAGTTTAATAAAACCCTCAGAATATATTTGGTAACAACTATGGTATACCACAAATCTTGGTTAAGCATGAACCAAATAATAGTTATGAAAGTATTAGACCTAGGGTCATTCAGAAGAGCTACAATGCGAAATGTGGCAATCACACACGACCAAGATAATATGTATT